TGGTGTGATTTAGTATTGAATGTGATATTTTTTACCATTTCCCGATAATGAATTGTTTTTTTTTCTAAAGATAATTTTATTCTCTTTAGAAAAGATCATTTTCAAGAATTTTTATCAGAGATCCTTAGAGCATTAAAGCTGAATGGATGGGTAAAGGAATTCGTTGGATGTCTATTTAATTATAATCTTATTTATGGACTGGAATTTACACGAATGAATAATGGATGTGTTTATTGCTCATTTATCCTAAAAATATATACAGTGAACCCTAAAATGAGTTCGTAGTTCGACAATGTACATTCAGAAAACCATAAAAAAGCTGTATTTATTGGAGTTAAACATATATATATTTGGGCCAGAGTTTGAGGCTGCGTTTAGAGAAGGAAATTTCATTTAGGGGTCTCGTTATGTTTTGAAAGATTTTCTCAATTTATCTAAGGCTTTCATAGCCTAAGTCATAAGACATTGGACATGATTTTATGAAAAACTGACAATTACCTTCAATAGGCCGGAAACTAAATATCATTTCCAACCGCAAGTTATTTCGTGCAACGAATATATTTTTTCTTATTCATTTACAGTCTTTTTCATGATTATAATAACATTTTGTATCTCGTGTTTTTCATGATCGTATAGACAACGCATTTACTTAGTGAGTACTTTCAGCAGTTTTTATTCTTCTCAATGACAAGTAATTTCAATGACAAGTAATTTTATTGCTAAATTATTTTAATGCTTATTCGAAACTATGATTTAAATTTTGTATTTAATTAACAGTTTGAATTAACATAACAAATATTTGATATCACACAATTCTTTAATAATAAATCAAATGCATAGCTTAACTTCTTCCAATAATACCTTCGCCAATAATGGAGGAACAGCATTTCCTACTGTTTTCATAATTACATGATAAATCTTTTAAATTGAAAGAATTTTTTTTTAAAAAAAAAACATCAAATGAAAAACTTTTATACATATTTACCTTGACGATATTGAGCATTCAGATCACCAAGAAAAATGTAATCGTCCGGAAAAGTTTGAAGCCTTGCCTGTTCTCGAACTGAAATATGTCTAAATTCAGTGGGATGGATATTATCCCATCCTGGACTAATCGTGCACAATACCGTAGAAGGGATGGAATTTAGCGTGAGCCGCTTTAAATGATATGGAGATGTCTTACAATACTCCATATTAGGCGATGAATTTGTCAAACCTAATAAATAATTTTCAAAGGTTAATTCAACAAATTCAAAGATCATATAAAACACGATTGAATGATAATTTTTACATACCTTGGAAGGCCTTCGAAACGGTTGGCGTCGGCACCAATCCAATCTCTAAATAATTAGATCGTTCTTCTTCAGTGCACTCGCCATCTATGAAATGTGTTTGTTCTGGCCATGATGGCATGCGTATTCCCTGTTTCACAGCCATAAGAAAAAATCTTTCTCGGCGTTGACAAACACCAAAAGTAGCAGCTTTCAATATTCGTGTTTCTATTTTATATCTTGATATGAAATAAAATTAAATATATAATAGTGATTTCGTTTCTTTTATGATTAAGTATATGGATACGTACCCAATATCCAACATATCATTGATAAACATTTTATACATTACATCGCTTTTGATTTTATTGAAGAATCCTCGAACATTTTCAAATACTAAGATTTTAGGTTTGAGCTTATCGACGACCAACGGAACAGTCAAAGCCAAGATCATATTGTTGGTCATGTCAATTATGTTGCCGCGCGTATTTGCCGTTGTATATCCTTGGCATGGTGGTGCAGCTAACAAAACGTCGACTTTATGAGTTTTACGACTTAAATGGTTTTTGATGAAGTCATAGATGTCAAGAGTATAAACCATTGTATCTTCGTGATTAAATCTATACGTTTCTGTTGCGCTTTGTTCTTTGTCAAGAGCCCATTTGACTCTATAGCCTGCCATTTTGGCACCTAGTGACAAGCCTCCAGCACCACAAAATAAATCACCAACAGTTGGAAGCTTTTTTTATTTTTTTATTTTTTACAGTATTAGTAATGTCTATTTGATTCTCAAGAAAAATGAATATTTGCATGACTCACGTGATCGGTGGTTTGCATTTTTTAAGTTTAAATTTATTTGATTTATATCAAACACTATTATTTTCTCATTATATTTATACGAAATTTTTGTCTCTATATATGAGTGTCGCTAAAAGAAAACCCGAAAATTTAAATATGTCATATTTAAATTTTCAAGTTTTCTTTTAGTGACACTCATATGGAT